TTAGAGTTTCCTCCAAGAGGCAAAAGGCCCGCTCAGCTGCGGGAGGGGTTGGGGATGGTGGTGAGGAGCTCGGGCTCCGCCTGGGTGGGTCACCTGTCCCAGGGAGGAAGCAGGTCAAACTGGAAGCCCACCTATCTTCCTCAGGTACAAAAGTGGAGGACAGACCTCCAGATACAGTAGCCCAGGGTCCAGGGCTATAAAAGCCTGCAGACATCTGCAGCATTGTAAATCCCTTGCGTGGGATGTTTTTGTTACCCCATCTGCTTTCCCCGAAGAAGTGAGTGATAAATCCTTGAAAAGCATGTCTACAGGGTTGGAAAAGAAGTGGAGCTAGGAGCCCGGGTCCCTTCTGTACCCAGATAAGGATGGGGAGGTGGGCACAGGTAGCCAAGACTGGGAGACACAGGAGACTATGTCCCTGGAGGAGTGGAGGCTAAGCCAGGGCTGCAAGCCTGGAAGACAGCTGCCATGAGAGCTCAGATGAGCTGGCAATACCCTGAAGCCCAGCCTGGCTTCCAAGAAAAACTCTAAAAATGGTCCTTAACCCAGGGGAAGAGCATCCTGCAGTTCATTCCAACTCCTTTCATAAATGGGAGCCGCTCAAGGAGGCAGGCTAGAAAAAGACAAAGCACACAGCAGACACACACACAGCTACCCCTTCACTATCATGGCACGTAGGCCGCAGACCCCAACTGGGCCAGGGCCACAGACCACACGCATGTTTAGGGAGGATCCCAAGAAGACCTCGCTACTCACACACAGCCACCCCCGACACACTCACCCGTGATCCTGCTCCATTATGTAATACACTGGCCATGCACAACTACACAGAACACATAACCACAGGCAATTATGCACTCACAGGCATGGCACACAATCACACAAAATCACACTGCACACAGTGAGATGTAACTGTGTACCCTGACATCTGACCACTTCATCTGCACATAATCATACACAGCGGGGCACAGTTATACGCAGTGATTCTGACTCACTCAGGTCACACACAGATGCGTACCCCTCCACACAGCCGTAATCACGGTCAACCACACTCATCAGCATATGATAACACACAGTCCTAGGCACTCCCACACAATCATTACAGCCGTGGTGGTCACAGCAATCATGGACAGGCCGCTAAGGGACAGGAGGGGCCTTGTTCTCTGCTAGGGCGAGGACTATCCGTCAGGGACAGAGGGATCCACTCAGACCACCAAGCGGTCCACTTCCGGGTCCACCCTTCAGAGCCGGAGAATATGAGAAGTTGTCTCCCTTGTCCTGCAGAGCACCCTGGGTCCTGATACAGTCTGCTTGGCCATTTCCCCAATCCTCTCTGGCTGGCTGGGCAGTGATGAGTCAGCAGAAAGGGCTCAGGGAATGCCAGGCTGTGGGTGACCATAGGGCCAGCACGTGTTGGAGCTTCTGAAGGTGGGAGGAGACTGTGAGCAGACTCACGCAAGGCTACACAAGAAGTCACTTTCAGCCAATCCTCTGTGCAGGGCCTCTACTCTTGGCAGGAAGCAGATGTGAGGGGCTGTGCTCCTCCCACAGGGAAGCCAAGGCCTCCCTCACCTGCTGTGGGTCTCTGCTCCTATGGGTCCCCAACTAGGCTTGGCTCAGTGCATCCCTGCAGCCCCAGACTACACCCAGACACACAAGGTCATTTAACCCATGCAGCACCTACTAAACCGGGATGCGTGACTGTGCCTTCAAGTAGGGAAGTTCACTGAAAAGATGATTCCAGAATACCATGGACTTCTAGGGACAGAGATATGCACATTGTAGTGTGCAAGCTGCTGGGGCCATCTGCCCTGTGAGCCCTCTGTGTCCAGCCCCTGCTGACTTGGTGCCTGCTGACTTGGCACCCTGTCTTTTCGGTGCCCCAGACTTCCAGAAGGAGGCAGCAGTCCAGCTAGAAAGGGAAGGCCCCTCTCAGGGAAGCCGTGTGTCAGGAGCACACATGATTGCTAATAAGAGCCACTTTCATTTCTCTATCAGAGCGAAGAATTACTTCTTCAGATTTCAAGAACAAAATGTTAAATGCCCCTCTCCAGGAAATCTTCCTAAAATGCTGTCTTCCTGTCTCCTGCAGCACAGCAGTCTCCCCACAGCATTCTTTCTGCCATCCCAGGGCCATTATTATAGGCTTTCATTATCACTAGCCCAGGATATAGCGATCTTTTCCTTGGCTCAAAGTAAGTGCTGTAAATATCCTTGTGGAAGAATGCGTACTACTGAGCCTAACCTACTAGGCTGAAAGATGGGAACGCAGGTAGTAAAGGTACAGATGCTCCCTGGCACCAGACCCATGCACCACTGCTGGGGCCTTTCTCTCCTGCTCCCTCAACTCTTCCCAAGAGGAAGGCAATTCCCAAGTTCTCCTTTCTGCTTTGCTTCCTCCTTAGGGTACCTAACCTATCCTCCCAACATTATCTGAAGATGTCGTTGCCCTCTTGCTGGGTCCACAATTCTTGGCTCTCCTAGAACTTGAAAGCACTAGTTTCCTTTCTACTCCCTCATATCAGTCCAGGAAACAAGATGTTAACAAATATTAGACCATAGGACAATCACAGAGGTTCTGGAATCTCACAAAGTTTTTACATCGTAATGGATTATCCACTAAAAACAAAACACAAAACTGACAAGTCATCGCTGCCTCATAAAGCAATAAAATAAATTCCAGATAGGTAAAATATTTAAACATAAATAACCATAGAAAGCATGATAGAAAACAGGGGTGGTGATTTTTTTTTTTTATTTTAGAGTGGGAAAGACCTTTCTAAGCAGGAATACAGAAAAGTCTGATATATCCAACTACATAATATTTGTAAAGGGCTGGACAATGGAAGCTTTATCTTACAAAGTCAAAACACAAAGGATAAGCTGGGAGAAAGATTTGCAGCAGATAAAACAAAGGGTTTGTATTCATAAGCTACAAAGAGCTTTTACAAATCAACAAGAAAAAGTTAAACAATCCAACTGAAAACTGACCAAAGGTTGTGAGTAAACCATAGAAGAATTATAATTAGCTAGTAAGTGTATGAAGAGATGTTCGTCTTCCCCATAATTCCAAAAGATTAAATTGGCTTAACAGGATGGGAAACATTAAAAAGATGAATATTTAATATCAACAGGATGTGGGTTGGTAGGCATTTTCAGAGGTTTATTGGTGGGAGGAGAAACTGGTAAAAACCTTTTCGGAGGACAATTCAGCAACATCTATTAAAGTTTGAAATGTGCAAGCACTTTGAGCCAGCGATTCTGTTTCTAGGAGTTTATGCTCTAGTAAGGATATACACCGTCACATCAAGATATTCACAGTGCATTTCTGGGGAGTCAGTGTGAATTTCTCAATACAGCTGTGTTTTGGCTCTGCCCCTTGAGATTCTACAGCACTAGAGTGTTGAGTTAATATGGTTCAGAAAACCCACTTGGTCTTCCCTTAGCTCATATACCCTTCTAGACTGTCTTTCCTTTCCCAGTAGCCGAATCTTCATTGGGAAATTTTGCTAAATTTGAGAAAGCCATCTGCACCTCAACCCCAGATGAAGAGACTTGACCTATGCTGAGTCTTTCAGGACATTCCATCCTCCAGTTGCATATAGTAGGCATGTGACCTGCACTGATCCAATAGTGGTGCACCTAAGGAAGTTTTATTGGACGCCCTAGGTCAGAGATTTTTCTATTCTTATACATGGAATGGATAGATGTGTGGCCTGTAGTGCTTTAGTTCTTTTTACTACATGAATGACAATAAATCTGAAGGCAAAGCTAAGCTACAAACTAAGACCAAGCCAAGAGAATCACAGAAAAACAGAATAAAAGCCTGATGATACTGTGAACCTCTGGATCAAACCCCACCTAAATTCTATGCAGACCTAGGCTTTCCTGATGCAGGGGGCAATGCATTCTCTCTGCCGTTTAAGTGGGTTTGAGAGAGATGTTTGTGCACCTTGCAGTGGAAGCCTCTTACAAGTACAGAATCTCTTTCCTCCACAGACAGTTGGTTCCTTGTCTCTGTGAAGCTCAACCTCAGAGAACAAAGTCCTGCTAGTTTTTCATGGAGCTAGGGAAGCCCTGACTTGATTGCTTTGGTGTGTGGTTTAGAGGAGACAGAAAAATACCTCCTAGCTTTGTGAGACTTAACAATATGAACAATCCAGACATTATTTCTCACAGAATTATTTTATTACATTTGCTGTAGCTGAAAAACTCAAAATAATCTAGATGCCCATCAGTAGGATGACTAATCATACAGTCCATCCACTTGGGGGATCCTCTGCAGCCTTTGAAGACACGGAGGGAATCACTTACATACTGCCTTGCAAGATGCCCCTATGAAACCACTGGAATGAAGGACAGACTGTGTAGTATAATCCCATTTTTGATTCATTAAAACTACAAGTCTATGGTTCTGTCTCAGTAGAAAAAGATCTAGAAGAAAGATTGCTTTACACAACACATTTTTTTTTTATTATTTCTGAGAGGTAGAGTTCTGAAAGGTTTGCATTTTTTATTTTTCCATTTCTTAATTGAATTTTTAGAGTATCATTTAAAAATATTTTCATAAGGAAAGTTCTTATAGTCTTGGTCCCTGGTCTACAGGTCTCAACTTCCTTTTGTGGTAATAACTAATGCCTTGAGGGAGTTGTCACTGGCTGAATATACATCAGTATCTTGGCTGATCCAAGAAGTACAGGCCTCACCTGACGGTAGGGCCATGAAAGATGCCTCCAGGATGGGTAGGGCAGTGTGCTCTGCACCCTGGCCTGGTCTATAGTGGCAGGCAGTAAAGAATGTACCAGTAGGCCAACTGGCTGAGCAATGACCTGCTGGTTGTCTCTGTTACAGGAACACAGCAGGTTGGGTGGTAGGCTGAAAAATGAACCTCAAAGATATCAGTTCCCAATTCCTTGGTATCTGTGAAGCTTACCTTATATGGAAAAAAAGGCAAGAGCAAATGGGATTAAATTAAGGATACTTTTGGATTATCCCTGTAGGATCTATGTATACCCACACGTGTCCTTCAATAGAGGAGTAGAAGGAGAGCTGACGAGAAGAGGAGAAGACCATGTGATCAAAGATGCAGAGACTGGAGTGATGCAGTCATCAACCAAGGAATGCTGGCAGCCACAAGGAGCTGGAAGCAACCTGGCTGATACTTTGATTCTGGCCTGGTGATACTGATTTTAGACGTCTACCCTCCAGAACTACGAAAAACAGATTTTCATTATTCTAAGACACCAAATTCATGACTGTTTGTCCCAGCACCCACAGGAAGCTAATACAACTTCAGAAAGTGAGGCATCCCTGCTACAGCACAGATGGTTCTCCCTGCTGATTGCCTTCCCCATCACACATGCCCAGGCTGAAAAGAAAACAAGGTTGCTTTCTCCAGATACCCTCAAGAGGGGCGCCCAGCCGTCTAATGAACTCTGGCACCTGGGATGGGGTGGGGGGATGGAGCTCTGCTGAGCCCAGGGGTTGCCTAGCAACCCCGGAGGGCTGGTGAGGCTCCCCACTGTGCCCTGGTTTCCCAGGGAACGGTATGTGCGAGTGGGATTGTTAGAGTGCAGAAGCTATTAAAAACCAGAAAACACCGCCCTTCACTCAGAATAACTTCCCAGGTTCTAAAAATGGAATTTTGCCCAGTAGTAACATTTCTCACTACTGCAATAGTAAAACTTCTCACCCCCTCATGCTCTGTAGGCTTGCGTCTGCCCCAAGGAGGAACTGCTATTAATGGCAATTTCTGCCTAATGTAACCCCCTTGGTGAGCCACATGCCCATGGAGAAGGACAGTCCCTTGTGCATCAGGCTTCCTGCTTCTCCCGTGACCTTCCCTAAGGGTGTGAGGTTTTCCCCTGCTCTAATACCTATAGTTTCTCTTGGGTCAGAAAATAGCAATGATAATAAGCCAATTACTTATATGTCTCCTATAATGCGTCAGGCACTATCCTAAGGACTTTACATATACCAACTCATACACTTCTCCTGACAACCCTCTGGGGAAAACACTTTTATTGCCTCATTTTATAGATAGGAAAAATGAGGCTCAGAGAGGTTAAGAACTTGCCCAAGGGCACACAGCTGCCAAGTGGCTGAGCTGGAGTTTGAACCCTGACTGAAGCGCTCCTTTTACTTCCTGTAGTATCCATGGCTGTGCTTTTACCTTCTGTATTATGTTGGCTGGCTGAAGTGGGGGAGGGAAGGCTGCATTTGGCCAGAGGCAGAGGACGTTTCTACGCCCAAAGTGAGCTGTCTTGAGTGAGGACCTGGGGCTGAGATCTGTGTTGAACTGCAGGCAGACCCTCTGGCTCTCTTTCAGCCAGGACTGCCATGGCACGGCTCAGTATCTTCTGTCTTTGTTCCTTCCAGGGCTTTGCAAAGCCTCGCGTGGAGCGCTCCAGGGAGTGATCCTCGGCTTCTAGGCATGGACCGCCGGTGGGTATCTGACATTTTTTAGGCCTGAGAAGAGGCTAGCTCCATTCTGCTTACTTCTCCTGGGTAGGTGGGTGGATCAACAGCCCATGTCAGCTGCAGGTGTTTCCTGGGTGCTGAGCTGACGGAGGCCAAACGGCTTCCCTTCCTCTCCCTACCCTGGGGAGGAGGATGGGGTGGGACAGGAGGAGGAAGCATAGCCCCAAGGGATCCCTGGAGGAAGGGAACCACGCTGTATTGTCTGTGCCTGTGTGGGCTTGGCCTGGCTTGTTCAGGTGAGTCTAGAACTTGTAACGAGGAGACCTAGCTTCTGGTCAGCCGTCTCCCAAGTTCAAGGTGAGGTAGGACCTTCTCTGCATCCAAGACTTCCCTTTCACAAGCCAAGCACTTTGATGTGTGAAAGTGCTTGAGGATGTGATTTACAAACCCAAGTGGCTTGAGGACTTTTCTCTTTGAGAGGCAGCAAGCCCTAAGCAATGAAATCCAGTCTTTACATCCTACAACTCCTGTGTCTTGTCAGTGTGCTTGCCCTCACTTGCAGAATAAGGGTTAAAAACACACACACTTATCGCAGAGTTGTCAGACTTTAAGAGATGCTGCTGGAAGCCAGGTGTGGTGGTATGTGCCTGTAATTCCACCACTCAGGAGGCTGATGCAGGAGGATCACTGTGAGCCTAGGCTGGCCTGGGCTACATAGTCAGTTCAAGGCCAGCCTGAACTGCGTAGTGAGACTTGCCTAAGAGGTGCTCTGTTTGCCCGGATTCAGGTGGGGTGCAGATATTGGATCCTTCAGCAGAAAAGAGCATCATGTTAGGGTAAAAACTGGCAGCTCAGCACATGTTCACTCCTTTTCTTGGTCCGACAAAGATAGCACACTTATAAAACATCCTGAGTGCCTGGGGAAGAAAGGATGGGCCCTGCTCTCTACTTACCCACGGAGCCCCCTCTTCCCACAGTTTTAGTAGGGTCAGGCTAATGAGCTGACTGAGTCCTGCCTTCAGAGAATCTTGACCAGAGGTTTAGATGCCTCGGGACAGGATGGATGGCGCGCCCTTCCCCAGGCCCACGCCGGTCTTGCAGTGCCCAGTGCGTGTGCTGAGGGGGCAGTTCTCACATGATCTGAACCCTCTTCCCCACGCTTCCTCTAGGCTCAGTCTTGGCTGGGTCTTTCGCTGTCATTCCTTTGCCCTGAGGACCCTGCGCCCCTCTTTTCCTAGAAAGGGTCGGGGCAAAGGGAGGCAGTGTCAGTGCTGGGCCTGTGGAGGAGGCTGAGGGCTGGATGTACCCTGGCCGGCAGCCCAGGAAGCCCAAGCATGTCAGGAAAAGATTGCATCTCCCCAGGTTCTGCCTTTCGGGCAAGAGCCCTCAGTGTTGTCGTCATCCTGTGACCTCTGTCTGGGCTCTGTGTAACCTGCCGCTTGGTTCTCCTCTGTGTCCTCAGGCTGACTTTGCAGCTCAATTCCGGTTGGTTCTGGGCACAGTTGGGAGAGCACCATTGCATCTGTCCCGGGACAAGGGCATCCTAGCTTTACAGAGGTCACCTGATTATACGCAGAAGAGCTGAGCCTCAGGCAAGAGATGCTGCTCATCCTGAGCCTGGGCTGACTCTGCAGTAAGGACCGCGGTCACTGGGTATGGGGCGTGTGTGAGAGACACAGCCCAGACTAAAGAGGAGCTGCAGAAAAATGCCCCCACTCTCCAGCCCTGTGCCGTAGCTTTGGGGAGTCCAGATGGTCACAGAACACTCTAACCTTTGCAGGAAGACCAGAAGACATGGACATCAAGCCCTTGGCAGCACTGCCCACCCCATGGACACCAGCCTCAACAACCACAAGGAAATAAAGCAGCCAAGCATCCTCGGGGGGGAAAGAGATCAACTTCTGGGGACACAAGAGAGAGCAAGAGACACAACAGAAAGCAGGAGGTGAAGGGCTAAGATCCTGAGTGTCTGGAGAATGGCACGTGCTCCCAAGGGGGAGACCAGTAGGCCAGCCACGCGGCCTATCTTTCCTCTTCTCTACGGCTCTGTGCCTGGCCAGGCGCTAGGAGCAGACATGTGCTTCCTGGGCTGGCAGCCCGGGCACAGAGGCTGGGGGGCCACATCCCCCCAGTGAATGCACTGACTCCTGCAATATCCCTGTGAGGAGTGTGGATCCTCCCTTGTTGCTCAGCTTGGATGGCTGGAGTCTGAAGACGGGGAGAGACCTGCCTGGGGAGGAGGGCTCCATCCCCTGAGCACTTCTCTCTGCCAAGCTCTGAGCTAAGCACTTCAGGAACACCACAGGTAGCCGGATTCACAGGCAAGGGGATCAGGACTCAGGGAGAAAATATCACCCAAGGCCCGTCTCAGGTGCTGCATCAGGACAGCCTGAGTCCAGAGAACCTGTTCTTAGCAGAAATGTCCCGCTTTCCCCTCCCACCTTCTCTTTCACTCCCAGACATTTTGGGGGGAGGTCTTTCTCCCTTTGGGACCTAGGGGCCAGGGGGCTGCCTTTGTCACTCCTAATTCCAAGGGCTCTTCATAGAGCAGGGCACAAGCTCAGTCCATGGGGAGCCAGGAAATTCTCCCTCTGCTTTTGGCCTGCATTTCCTTTGTGCTCTTGAAAGAGGGACAAGGAAGGGTCAAGGGAGGTGTGGGAAAGTCTTGAGGATGGGCAAAGAGGAGGCCCTCACCCCAGGCTGGGATCTGCAAGGATTTCAGGCACTTCCTGCCTCTTTGGCAGGGAAGGTATGAAATCCTTAGGATATTTGAGTTCTGTGGTCACTCAGCCTTCATGCCTTGTGTCCTCTTAAGCGAAACTTGTCCTTGCTACCTCACATCCAAACCACTGACAGCAGGGCCAGTGGCCTCTGGGATCCTGCAGTCTGTAGCAAGGCCTGCTGAGCTCCCCAAACCACGCAGCATGCAGGGACCCTGCCTGCCTAAGAGTGGACGCTACCTTTTGTGGGGAGGGGTGGGGGATGTTATCCAGTCCTTGCTAGAACCTCTGGGAGCACCTAGAGGGCAGGTCATTTAAGAACGCAGTCAGGCGGCAGGCCAGGAAAAAGGGTGAGGCACTCCAAGGGGTGAGCAGAGTCCAGACGAAGGCAGGGCAGAGCAGAGCCCAGTCAGGCACTTGTGATTGTCCTGGGTGGACAGAGCAGACGGAAAGTGGCGGAGAGGCGGGTCACACCCTGGCAATCTGAGCGGGGTCTATGTCAGCACCATGGGTGCCATCGAGGGCTGTGAGCAGGAAAGTGACAGGAACGTGCTTGCTTTCGGAAAAAGCCCGCCCCCGGCTGCTGCAGTGGCGTGGGGAGGACAGTCAGGAGGTACCAGGTGCAGCGGGCATCCACCACACCACAGAGGAATTTTGTGAGGGGCGCCCTGAGCAACTGGGGCCTGACCTGTGGAGGAACGGTTCTGGCTGAGGCCACGCCAGTCATCCCCCCGCAGTTGGAGTGGGGCCTGCTGGCTAGAGCAGCCGCAAAGAGAAACATGTGGCTGGTGTGAGTGTGGTTGAGGAGGCTGTCGCTGGGCTGATGAGTCAGTGGCCTGTGCCCCATGCCAGCACTGCTGGCTTCCCGGGATTAGGAAGAGCCAGGGAAGGGTGGGCGTGTGGGGGGATGGAGGGATAGGTGGCCTAGGGAGCCTTTGGGTGGGCCACAGTTCATGTCTTGATTTCCCTGTAGGAACAAGTGTGAGAGCCTCTTCCATCCACGAGGCTGGTGGCCAGTTAACCCCGCCAGGGTCAGGCACACTGTGTCCTGTCAGCTGCTCCGCCCTCTTACTCCCAGGGGTGCCCCAAGGCAAGACAGGACAGTGAGGCAGTTGAGCCTGCACTTCCTTCCTCCCTGTGGTAAGTATATCACTGGTTTCCAGCTGTCCTAGCCTGAAAAGTGTGTGTGGGGGGGTCACTGTTGGTCCTCCTGCTTTGCCCTCTCTAGGAGACTTTATCTTTGCCACTGGCTCCAACCAACACCAGCTGGTCTTTCACCAGAGCCTTGGCCTTTGTCAAAGGAATGAAGGGTAATAGAGTGTCATGTATCCTGAGGGCCTAGTAGGGGGGCCAATGAACTAGGACTGCAGGCAAGGCCTGTCCAGGCTTCTCAGACCACACCTCTGACATCTAGCAGGTCTGGATGACACACTGGGGCAGCCTTCTCTTGGGGCGCCTGCGGCTGTATCCCATGTGGGGTGGGTTGGCTGGCTCTGCAGAAGGGAGGCTGGGTCTCTGCCCTGCGCCCCAGGAGGCAGGGCAGGAGGCACTACTGTCCTCACTCAACATAATCCCACAAGAGTCAGAGTGCACGACACTGGTTCAAGCATGGCTTCTTCCCCGCCCCATCTAAGGGTGGAGAGGTCTGAGGAAGAACCCAGGGCTGCCTCCCCCGCATGTGGGCACAAGGACAGGGGTGTGGGGCAGGTGCTCTAGGGAGATTCTATGGACAGAAGAAAAAAAGACCAAAGCAGTCAGAATGATGACTCCCTGAGCTGTCCCTTCCTTGAGTGAAGCAATGAGGGGTGGGTGCAGCTGAGGGCTTGCCGAGTAATGTCTTCAGGGAGACAGCCAAAATGTGAGGATGTGTGACCCTCGGTTCAGGAGCCAGTGAAGTCACTCTCTTGGCCTCGGCTGCTGCAGTGTTCAGACAGGGTGCCTTCCCGAGGCAAGTTCCTTTTTAATGACCCAAGTTCTGACTCTTTGGACTTTAGGCAATCATTCAACAGCTCCTAAGGAGAGAGAGGAGCCATGCTGTGGGGTGCTAAGGGACGGCAGTGCTGATACATCAGTGCTTACTTACCATTTAGCAATGTCCTAGTTTGCAGAGGTCCAGAGACAGCGAGATGTGGGGATGCAGAGGCATTGCCTCTACTGCATGTGACAGGAAGGACTTCACAAGGAGGCGGCATTTGGTGAAGAAAGAGCCATAAGGAAAGAATGGGAAAGGAGACTCCAGGGCCAGGGCCAGTGATATCCCAGGAACAGAGTAACTTAGACTGTGGTGCGTGCTGTGATAGACGATACTTTCCAGCCCTCTAGATGTCAGGTTAAGGGGGAGACAGCGTCCTGGTGTAACATCAGGCAGGACTGCGGCTGCCGCTTTACGCCGTTCACAGTTTCCTCATCGGTGTCATGGGGATCACTGTGACGCTGGGTTCCGGTAAGCACCAGATGTGCCAGCAGTCGGTAAGCTGTAAACAGCTGTGCAAACCTGAGGCCTTACTGGGGTTGCACCTCCACTGCAGCCACTTATGTGTTGACCTTTTGGGGCACATTTCCTGGGGAGTGGCCACAGGAGGCTGGTCTCAGTCACACTAGCTTTCATGCAGGGAGTGATGGTTCCGGCCTTTTCCACTCACTCCTTAGGCTCACTTTGTGTGGGACCAGCCGTTGCCCACCCAAGGGCTTGGGACCGCTTGAGAAAGGTTAGCAGTAAGCGGGCCCAGGCCGGAACTGAACCCAGTGGGAGGGCTGTGAGGCTCAGGAAGGCAGGGTCATCACAGCCACAGTGGGACAGGGGCCCAGCAGCACAGGGGAACAATGGGCAGCAGGTGACGGAAGCTGGAAATTGGTTGGTGCCAGGGCCTGACTATGACGATGTGGAGGGAAGGGCAGAATGAGAAACGACGGGACGGGGTGTGTTCAGGGTGCTCTGGCCGTACACTAGAGTGAGAAATGACAGAGGAAGGCAAATCTGATCTCAGAAAGAAAATCTGTTGCCTTCACCCCCAACACCCATGCCCCTGGTCCCAGCATCTTCAGATGGGGCTGCCTCAGGAGGGGTGCAGGGAGGGCAGAGGAGGGACTTCTAGCTGCACATGCCTGCGGGGGGCTCTCCCCATCCTGCCTGCCTCTGCCGTATGGCACAGTGGTGGACTCCGCTCCCCCTGACTCCCAGGCTCTGCCGGCTCTGCCCAGGCACTGGCTGTGATTCAGGGGCTCTTTGCCAGGGGTGCGTTCCAGCCAGCTGCTCAGCTCTGGTCCCCACAGGGCCGAGGCTGCACTGAGGCTAGGAAGTCCTCAGCACCCAGCTTAGCTCCCGCCCACGCTCTAAGCCCCTTAGCTGCCCACGGCCTTTAAGGTCCCTCTGTCAGCAACACCATGGTGTCCGGACAGGGCTGTGCCCAGTGACTCAGCCTGGCCCTCTCCTCTGCACTGAGTAGGTGTCATAAATACTTGTTAAGTAGAATTCTTGCCTCTGGTTGGGATTTTCCACTGCAGCCAACCGCTATTCCCAGCCCTGCCATGGCTGCCTGATTCTGAGTCTGCCCTACATGTGTGTCTACCAGCCCTTCTCTTCCCTACCACATCCTGCTCCTCCTCACAGATATCCCTTCAGACTGCTCCTCACTGCCTCCCTGCTATCTGCTTCCTGAGTGCAGCAGCCTCCCTGCGGGGCCCTTGTCTGCCTGGCGTCCTGGCAGTCCCGCCCGGTGTATACTGTACTTCCTGACATCTGCCTTCGGTTTTCTCCTTCCCCTGCATGTGTCTCAATGGCTGGCTGAGGAAAGCAGGCCCCTAAGCAGAATTTATCATGGAGTCCTACAGAAACTCAGGCATGGAGAGGCAATGAGATTTTGTAAAATGTCACACAGCAAGTGTCAGATGCAGCTTTTTAGCCCCAGCAGTTTGGCTCTAGGACTGTGCTCTTAACCACAGAGTTATAGCTCACACCCAGGGCTGTAGTAATACCGCAGAGATTTTTGTGGCGACTACCTTAGGCCAACTACAGAGGACTGCTTTGTAAACTAGAAATCCTTGGACAAACGTTCATCAACACGTAAAGTATTTTGAAAATAACAAAATGTGTACCAGTAGTTAATTAAAGCATTACAAATTTCTTCTGAATCTATTGTTTCAAAACTAACCACAAACTGAAATTATGAAATTTCCTCCTTTCTCTTCTTCCTAGAAGGATAAATTAGAACAGTCTTGATTGTCAGTGTTTGTCATTTATTTCTATGATCGTAACATCACCATGTGCAGTCAGCTCTTACTGTAATGTGTCTCTCACCCAGAGCCCCTGTTTCTGTTTTCTAGGGTGTTGTCACCCCGTGTCCAAGCCATCTTCACGTTGCACCTAAGCTGTTGCAATAGCTTCCTAGCTAAACCTCCGCTTCTAGATACTCTTGTCTCGCATCCAGGCTTCTCAATCGCTGCTCAAAAATTCAACATGCTTTTCACCATTCCAATGGACCCCAAAGGGCCTACCTTATAGCCAATGAGATAAGGCAGGAAACAGAAATAGGAAATGGGATTACGGGAAAAAGAACTGGCAAATCTTTTATTATTCACCGATGATCCAATTGAATACCTAGGAAACCCATGAGAATTCACTAGAAGGCAAATATAACTCATAAGAATTTTGTAGCTGGCCAGAAAATAACAACTGACACTTATGTAGAACGTAAGCCTGCCAGGCCCTGTCCCCAGAGCTGTCTGTATACTCCCCAGCTCCCCTTGACGCTTCCAGTCCTCATCTTGAGGACGGAAACCAAGGCCTGGGGCAGTTCGGTGGCTTGGCCAGGACCCAGGCAGTTTGGCTGCTCGATCTGCTTGCTTAGCTACTCTGCTATCAGCTCTTGTCCTATGT